CAAGACTATCTTGGTATTGTCAATCATTATGATCAGGAAATAAGTGGATTAGAAGAAGCCAATAAAAATGCAAGAGCGTATCTTCAGCAAAGCACTTACAGGTAAACTTCTGATGGTTTCTTACCTGGGTATTAATACACCTGGATCATTTTCTGCCGAAGGCACAGTCTAAAGGAGAGTAAAAATGTTTTATTTTTTTGAGTGATGATCCACTTATTTTTTGTCACACAATCTGGCTGAAGGTAATATGCATGGCTCAGCAAATTCTTCCGAGCTGATGATCGTTGCTCCAGTTGATGATCAGTATTCCAGACTCGAAATTTTCCACATTAAATATATTACTTTATTATAGCAATCATAGTAAATAATCCTGAAACACTTGCTCTATTATATGGACTGTTTTTATATAAGAAGAAGGATATAATAGCTATTCAGGAAAAACTCGGTATTGGTGGAAATACAAATCAGTTGGCAGTGCCTCCAGATTCCGAGTTCATGGGGAAAATACTTGCTGATTCATATGAGCTGTTGTTAGAATTGGTAGGAAATTTAATAGCGATATAGGAGAATCTTAACATTGATGGTAATTCTGTTCTAGAGGTGAAATATCAAAGCGATGAAGCTTCTACAGATATTTCATTGGGGGAGATATTTAATTTGCTTATGTATTTGGAAGAGGATATAATAGCAATTCAGGAGAAACTCAATATTGTTGGCTACACTAACCAAGAAATGGCAGAAGAGGCCGATAAAAATGCAAGAGTATATCTCCAAAAGTTTGAGGAATATCACGGTCCTTTAGAAGATGTCCCAAGTGTGTTAATACAGAGATTCATCGATAAGGGAGTGAAAATGTTTTATTTTACTGGAGGGGACTACCGTTATTCCCGAAGGTTACTCCTCAACAATTGCACGAAATTTTCGTAAAAAATTTGGCTGGTACAGACCAGTGCCCATGTCTAGTATAAGTTAGTTAATCTATATTTTTTTGTCGTACAGGAGTGGCCCAACCAATTCTTTCAAGCCGATGGTCACCGCTCCGGATTAGTTAGATCTTGCCATAGCAGATAAAAAGACCATCTCACCTTATTTTTATGTTATGACCCTTTTCAAACATATATTACAAAAAAAGACTAATATACTCCCAGTTAAGGCTACGGTCATTGCAAAACATGAAAGCCTCTGAAACAAATATGGCAATCCCTCCTGAAGATCTTTGATTGAAGAAGAAAAGCTTTCCAATTATTTTTATATATCAACTCTAAAAATATTTCACTAAACACTGGCTTATCTCCCGCAGTATCAAAGCTATAAGTGAGAAATTTATTTTCGAATTTCAGCTAACATCGCATCAATTTCAGCTAACATTGAATCCATTTCCATAGTCTGAGACTTTTTTGGATCGGGCTGGAGCGCAGGCGAAGATGCCTGTGTTTGGGGTTTTAGACTGTTACTTGTCTCAGGTTTAGAATCGGAATCAGATATGGGCTCCTTCGATTTGGGATCACCTAAAGCGTAATTTTTCCCTGTATTAAAATGGTTAATTTTATGTCTTAATGCGATTTCTGAAAGATTGTCGAGATGTTGAGGGGTTGGATTTAGACCAGCATAAACCATCGAGGCGTGTTTAGCTCCTGTTTTTCTTAGAAGCTTGGGGATAATCTCATCTTCGTCCTGATTAGTTTTTAAACTCTTTATGAATTTGGTAAATGGCACATTATTACGCTTTCCAGTTTCAGTATAAACTGAATCACGCAACTTCCCAGCCTTAATAGCATCTTGAATTCAGATAAGTAATTCCCTAGCACGTTCTGGATCCTTTTCTATAGAGAGTAAACGCATAGGCATCGGTTTATCTCTCTGTTTGTGACATCCAGTGCAATACCAAAAATAACCAGCTTTATATCACGCTAGCAGATCTTTAGAATCTGGTTTGTAATTAATAATCTGGAGAGATGATACTTCAGCAGGCCTCATGCTCAGCATCACTATCACATCTGCGAGATCCTGCATAGAGGGAATTTTAGAAGTATCGATATTCTGGAGTCTCCTAAGCACTTTCTCAAAGGTAAAATGTTCTGGAGTTCTACCTGGATTAGCCAAGCGCTTCTCAGTCCGCTCTTGCTGAATTTTGTTGGAAGCTGTAGTGGTCTTTGAATCTTTGGCATAGCGATCAATAAGTTCAGGATCAGTCCCGTACTCTGATAAATACTTATGAAATCATGATTGGTTTGAGCTAAAAGCAACCATTTCCTTATCATCAATTACTCCATCCTTATTTCCTTTTGGTCCCAAAGATAAAGTATTAATGAAAATATCCCACTTATCTTCGCTTTTAGCAACTTCTTGGGCCTTTTTCCTGACAGAATATATCTTATTTCTCTGATCTGACACGAGAGCCCCTATATTCTCTTTACTAAATACACTTCTTTTTTCAGTACCTCTCGCAAGGGCTTCCTTAACGCACTTACTGGCCTTCCAATCTGGAAGTAAAGCATTAAGTTCAGAAGCATGTTCGCTCAATTGTTCTGGAGTTGACTTAGCGGATAAGTTATATCTTTCTAAGAACTGTTCTAGAATCAAAACGAATTTATTAGTTTTTGCTTTCCGGGTCTTTTGGATGGGCTCTGCAGTAGACATGTCGATATAAGTAGACTTCAGTTGTTTCTTCTACTTATATTATGTGAGAAAAAATTCAATTTGAAAATCCCTCAGAGCTATACTTCTTCAAAAAAGGAAAATAACAAAGATGGACTAAAGAAGCGAAAAATGATATAGCCTACGCAGGTTCTCTATGAGACCATCCGCTCTGGCTGGGGAGTTTTACATTGATTTGAAAATTGCGGGTAGATAGGATATGCGAAAAAATATAGCCATGGAATGGGAGTTCTGTGACTATGAATAAATTTGTATCGTATTCACGCCTTAAATTCGCGCTAGAGCCAATATATATTCTGGCCCTAAAACACTTGTCTTGGTAAATGCATCATATAATGCATCCGGTCTATGTTTCGAAGGAGCCAAATTTGAATGATGGAGGAATTTCATAAGCATGTCGTTCCTCCAAGTTTTCATCTCTTCTTGCTCTCAAGTTATTCCTATTAACGTAGTCAAGTTATCAATGAAATAGTTCATTTGGATTAGATTCTGGAGTGAAGATCGTTTATTTTTTTCCAAAGTAAATAGACTCATTCCTCCTATAACAGCAGACTCCACACTAATAATAAATTTTTCACGAATATCTGCTCTAATTGCTAAGACAGATAAAGGCGGAATTAAGGCTGGATAGTAAAAGTCGATTAGGAGATCTAATGCAAATTCACCGATATACATAGTTCCAATATCCTCTAAATAATCTGAAAGTCTATCAGCATATCTGTAACCTTCATGGATCAGCTTCCGAAATAGCTTTCCATTTGGATCGATCCATCGGCCAGTTAGTAAATTAAGTACTGTTCTATGCATGGTTATAACGTTAGTATGAAAAGATACTTTATCTCATTATAATACCAATTAATTTAAATACATATTTTATTATAAAATTAAAAGTGAAAGAGGGCTTTATATCCTAAAATACTTTTGCTTTAGTGTCTTTGACCATGGCTCGCTTTACTTGCACACATATTAAGAAGGATAACACTATTTGTGGAAATAGGTGTTGTGATCCTACTGGATGTTATAGGTACTGGAAATTGTATGAAAAAAATTAGAAAAAAAAACCCTGCCTTTTTAGTGATTGTAGATATCATACTGATAATGATTCGAGGTATTGCTTCAGCCACTCTGCTAAGATTTATTCACATAATTACCAGATGAAGCAGAAACGCAAAGCCGAGGGTTTTCAACCTGAAATTCCTGAAGCTCCAATTTTCAAGTTAGATGATGAGGATATGGGTGTTGACCTCTTTGGGAATTAGTGGTTAGCTCGAATTTTAGAGCATTAGGAATCCTCTCTGAATTTTCTGCCAGAAAGAAAGCAAAAAATATTATTTCATTCATATCATTAAGTCGAATAGCGCTATTTTTAGTATATAAATAAAACACATCAGGCATATTTCTGGAATGGGACTTCTTCAGAATTATTATATAAAATATTGGAAGAAGCCTCCATCTCAAAGTATGTATGATCTGATTCCGTAAAACTCGGTATTGTATTCACATTGCTTTTATAACAGATCCGCCTATACAATATTAAATAAGTCTTGAATATCTTTCGCAAGTTATATAGTATTTACATTAGAACTGGGAGTATCTTTGGTTTGTTTTTCCTCCAAAAGATTTTCCATTAATAGTTCATCAGGTGGAAGTTTACTATACCCATACCAAGTATCTTCACCATTTTCCCAATAAATTTCTTTCCCTGTTTGGTATGGGGTAACTCAGGAGAGTCATTATTATTGAATGATCCAACTAGATGGTAATGTCTGCTATGCTTGTCTATAGCCTTAAATTTTAACCCATAAGTTGCGTGTAGTGCTGAATTTAGTAAACCAAGTTTCGCTCGAATTGTTTTTAATCCTGATTTTTTAGCACTACGTGATGCATCCACATTATCAAATACTCGAGCCATTTTAGATACTAAACCCTGGAGATATGACATTGATTCAGGAGAATTCATACGTGTTTTGACATCTTCAGATTTATATCTGACTCTATCATCAATATCTCTAGCTGGTGTGCAAATTCTTAATAATTCTAAGCATATTCGATGCCTCTTAGCCTGGGTTGCAGTTGTAAGTCTATCTTCTCTGTAATCTTTACGGGATATAGCAATAACGGCCGTTTTATTATTAGTACCAGCATCTCGTAATTGTTTATAAGCCCTAAACCATTTCATGTGATTGTAATTTCCGTACTTCGAGATAAAATCCTCAGTTAATGATTCAGGCAAAATCTCATAACAATCCACAATATGATGCTGGTCTAAAGAACGCATCTCTTCTAAAGTCTTCTTTGGTTTATTCTCTAATAATTCGGTAGTCTCACGATTGACAATAGTAGCATTAGATACATCTGCTATCTCCTCCGCTTTAATGATAGAGGAATTCGCCTTCACTGTTTGGGATAACGACATTGTAGTATCTTCAGGTTTAGGAATGAATTCCATGACAAAAATTACCATACCCACATTTCGGAGAAAATCAACTATCCTTCAACCAAATAAGCGCCGGGAACGGAATCTTTCCAACATATAGGCCACCCATAAATGAACAGTTGGTATGTTCTTATTCCAGATGATAGAATCTATATCTGGAAATATTCCTCTATTCTGAAGTTCCCGGGGGAGACATTCGCATTTGGCATTCAACAACCATTGGAATAATCCTTTCTCTGTGACTAGAACGTTAGAAGATCTCTGCTCAATATGACATATATAATCTTTAATGCATCGCATACGAAATAACATCTGATTTGTTCCAGCATTCGTTTCTATATAGCTGTTAAAGATGCAGAATGCTCGTTCAAACTTAGGATTGATGCAAAATACTCCTATCTTTAAAGTACTAGTATAGACAACTAGGTCTACATTTTTCCATGATTCTTCTACATTGTTGAAGTCATGAGCCTTTTCCACTAGATCAGATTTACCATGATATTCCTTAATTCGCAATTCTGGAAAATCAGTCTTAAGGGTGCAAACCACCCTTTGTACATCCTTTCTGAGGTAGCAGATAAGTGATGCACTTTTTCGACTCTCAAAAGGTAATAAAGACATCTGTTTAGTCCAATCCCAAAGTTTGGCTAATACTGTCTCTTTATTAGGGGCTAGGCGGAATGTCTTACCTTTCTGAGGTTGGAAAGTATTGTGAATAATAGAAAAAGGTATACCCTTACAAAGAGCCTTAATCCATTCAACGTTAAGGTCAGTTAGGTCATTATCCATTACAATAATGCGCCTAGCCTCTTGGATTAATTTATATAATTTCTCTATTGACTGCCCGGCTAAATGACTCTGTGCTTGAGCAATTATAGACACTATTTCATCAAGCCATAAGTCATATTGTATTGGGAAACATTTACATTTTTTACTATATTTGCATTTGTTAGTAATGCGATGTAAGCTCTCTATCTGACAAACTACTCTCTTATGATCAGGTAGATTTATATTACCATCAATATCGCAATATGACTTAAGATTAAGTCTCGTAATAACAGTGTTCGAATAAGAATGACGCGTGGATAATACTAGCAAATTTACATCATTAGGGATAGTCAAATTTTCAAGAATATAGATTTTTCCCGTTTCCCAAGGTGACCTTACATATATATCACCTTCGTTGGGTAATGATCTTACATATCTCTCCTCATATGTTTCTGTCGCTGTAAGGGGGTCATTATACTTGGCCCAGGATGGGAATTTTATGAAGGCTTTAGGGAAACCTGGACCTTTTATCCTGTGAGAGGCGGGAGATAAATTTTTATTTTCTTGCTAAATTTTTTCTGCAATAGATAGGTCGCATTCAAAAACTTCCCCAGGTTCATCACTATTTTGCCAGAAACATTTTACAATGAATGTTCCACTGGTGGCATATACACGGCCGAACCACCGCTGATCCTTGTCATATATACGTTTACATAGTGGACACTCTAGTGGGGCTTTTCGATTAAAATATGCGAAGTTTTCTGAGTCCTTTTCTTTGATAGTCCAATCCCTAAGATAGTTAGAATGCTTTTGCAAAACTAGGTCTGCACATTTTTGTAATACATCCTGACCTACGGATATTCTTAGCGGATTATTATTTTTTTTTGTACTAAGCATTCGAGGTCTTACTTCAAGCTCTAAGCTAGTAGGTGGTTGAACTCTAGCATGATTGAGTGCATTCCACCTATTATCTAGTGAGAATTGAAGAATATGCTTTACACGACCTTTTTTTGCTGAACCAATTAGGCGAAGGTTAAAATTCTGGCCAGGTAACCCTCTATCAATATACTTGCCGAATTTTTCACCAGTTATAGTATATACTAATTCAGTGAATGCTTTAAGCTCATGATGATCAATAAGAAGAGCTGGTGCATATAAAATATGGTAGCTACACTTGCTAGGGTCTGATGATGTAGCGATTACTAATCCATTGAGAATGTCCTCCTAGCTACAATCAAGAATTCGATACAAAGCTCTTATGAAAGATAGGCAGATTCGAATGAATACTTTTTGCGTCTTAACACCAATTGCTTTCATATCTTCTTGCGAAGCATCTATATCAATCACAGCTCTTAAAGGTTTTTGACCATTAATACATTCATGAATCCCAGGTAAGCCATATACTTCAGAAATGTCGTCGGCAACAGAAAATTTGAGGGCATGATCGGTATCTTGGTCAATTTTTATAACCAATTTATTTTCCACTTCACTTCAGTCATAAACGTTATATAAACTAGAGCCTTTTTCATTCGGAAAGAGGAATGAATAGATTGGGAGGCAATCCAATGATTCTTTATCGTCTGACATATCTCTAGACGATGATGAGAGAATCTCCCGAATGGCATTTAGCAAATCTTTAGGAGAAAATTTATCATTGAAGTTTTTTTGCCTCAAAGCATATGTCACATTAACTTTTCATTCTTTTACAGCTTTGGTAATGCTGATTGGAACGCAGGAAGCTTCTTCATTATCAGACTTATAATTAGACTCGTAGTTATTATAATCATCTGATCCATAATCAGAATCATTATAGCTATCTGAGTCACTCAAGAATTCACCAGGGTCAGCGCCGTCGTAGCGGAGGGCTGGAGCAGTTCCAATACGATCGGTTTGGTCAGAAATAGTTGAGATACGCATGATAATAGTTCGAAAAGATATACTAACTCTATAAAATTCAGAAATGTTTAATTATTTTTTTTCAGAAGGTGTAGAAAGAAGCTATAGCAAACTTAGTCAGCAAATCGAAAATGAAAGGCTTCTAGATATATACTTTTAGATGGGGGTTTCTTCAGAATTATTATATAAAATATTGAAAGAAGCCCCCATCTCGATGGTATGTACTCAGATATGAGAGGGTGAAGCCTTCTGCGAAATTAGCATACATGTACCGGCAATCGAAATTGGCATACTTATACCAGCTATCAAGAAGAAAGGCATCCAGATGCATCTGGATATGTGTATTCAGGGTATCCTTCTTCGGAAATATTGGCAGAAGCTTAATAATCCCAAGAAAGATAACAAACGTGCCACTAGTTCTGAATACTAACTTAAGACACTAGTGTCATATTTATTTCTTATAAATTCATTATCACATATGATGACATATGGTATCTCCAGTTCTGAAATTTCTGAAGTACTCTAATCGTTAACACTGTTAACAGAGTTCTCAATTCAGTGTTCCAATTTGTGATCATTTATAAAACGAATGTATCAGAGAGAAAAACGTTTTCATGTTTATTCTGAAGAAAATGCTTTCTATGGTAGTAAATTAAAAATTATTGATGGGAACGCAATCTATCAGGAATGCGGTATAGCCAATTATTTCTCGTGTGATCAATCCTAAATTTACTATACCACCCGACGCGATATTTTTTTTTATCATATTTTGACATTCTGGCGGGCAACCAAATAGGCGCAAAGGGTAAGCACAATAATATAGAACCGAGAACCAAATCAGGCACAGAAGGCCAGCATTCTCGACATACAACCAGGTATCTAAACACTTACGGAAGGCCAACGACCTTCAAAATAGAATTTGACATCCATTCAGGCGTAGGAGGTCAATATCAATCGGATAGCTACAAGGTAATAAAAAAGCCATAAAGCAATAAAATCAAGCGGATAGCTACAAGGTATCAAAAGGGGTATAGACACGTAAAAACAAGTAAGTAGGTATCAATGTCTATAAGTAGGTATCAATATCTATAAGTAGGCATCAATATGGTGTAAGTAGATAGATTAAGTAGACATCACTATATATATAGTGATGTCTACTTAATCTATCTACTTATATAAATATGTTCAGTTTGGAATATAATAGAAATAGCCCATAACTTTGGAACAAATATACATATTAATAAATGCTATTTCGCTAAATCTTATTCTGCTAAATGTTGTAAGAAAAAAATTTGGGAATCAGTTTAGGTGTGAAATTATTTTGTCGCACAAGTATAATTTCACAGATGATTTGTGAACTATCACATATTACATTATATATACTTTAACAAGGATCAGAAATACATTTATTTATGTCGCATATGCTTATATGCATTGTGGCTGAACAATATTTTATTAAGACAATATTTGGAATCTGGGTCAAGGACTGATCTGAAAAATTCAATGCACTAATTCACTATTATTATCCAAATCTGAGAAATTTACGGTAATATCCTTTCCATGAATATAGTATAAGAATTCTGACGGCAGTAAGTTGCATATTCTTTCTATTTCTACCGATTTACCCCTATATTTCTCATAATTTGAAATTCTGATGATGTTCTCAAAGTTATATTTTTTATCAATAAGATAAAATTTGGGATTCTGTAACCATTTTAATATGTTATACCAAGCTGTACTTCTAACAACTATGTAGTTTTGCTGATATAATACTCTAAAAGTAGCTAGGTGTACTACAGTATATAAACGTCTATATAACTGAATTCTCTTCGCTTCTGCTCAAGTAGTAGCAAAATAAATGTTATGCATATTTTCAACATAAAATCAGTTACTCACATAATTAGATTCTATTAGTTTTCCATTAATGAAATAATATGTTTTATCACGAGAAACAATATCTAAAAACTTTTTATTGTCAGGAATGCCATCATTCTTCACCACCTTCCAAATCTATTTTGCCAAAGATTCGGGTCTTTTCTTGTAATTCTTGTAAGCTTGCTGGATAATTGTTACATAGAAATTCTCAAACTTATAGTTATATTGTCTCGTAATCAAGAATCCTCAAGATCGCTTCATTGATCTCCTAACTTCTCAAAAAATAAATAAATTAGAAAATCTAACCCAGAATAGGTAGATCATGCATAGCGATTTCACTAGGCGATCATCTATACAGATTATGTAGCGCAAAAAAATAAATTATATTTGTTAAATTAGTTAAACAATCATGACTTTTGTCCTATCTTTTAATTTTAATGCAGGTCAATTAAGATGGTTTATAGATGGTAATAAATTATTTTGTTTTGCATATAGAGACAAGATAAATATTTTGCCCGTTTACTCAGAAAATAGAGAATCAGATGTAATTTTTTTAGAATATAATACCTTCCTCTGGTCAGAAAATTTTTCACGCAATATTTCTGACTTTAAGCTTGCAAGAAGATGGGCTGGTCCCTTTAGGACCGCTTCTATATGTTTATTAGCCTTGAAGCATTCATTATCCCAATAATGTTTCATCAAATCTTCAGGTTTAATCTCATACCCATATCTCCGCCATTCACTGAAATATGTCTTTTTTGGTTTTTCATCAGTGATCTTTACTAATTTCCAACAATCGAAGCAAATAGCTATTTTGTAATTGTGAATATTAGGTCTGTGATAACCAATGGCAACTTCTCTCCCTTCGCAGTTATCATAGTATGTCTTGGTTACTCCTTGCCCAGATAATCTGAAAAGGCAGAATTAAAGATGATCCCCATAATTATTTTCAAATTTCAATTAAGTTGCAACTTAATTGCACCATAAGGAAATTTAATTGCGCCACAAGTTGCAACTCAATTGCGCCATTTTTTTTAATTGCAGTGACTATCTTTAGGCAGAATACATGATAATAGCTTTTATAGCCTTTAGTAATCAATGCTTGCAAAGCGCCTTTTACACGAATAGCCCATTGCTAAGGAGTTTCATACGAACTAATAATAGATAAATTATCATATTTTTTTTTCACCTCAATCATCTTTTTGAATTGACTAGGATAAGGAAAACCATAACAGTTTCTAATATATTCAATATCGTATTCAGGACGAAAATTAATAGGTTTAGGCACAGATTTATTATAAACCTCGTCTAAAATAATATCAATGAATTTACCAGGCCTAGATCTGTTAATATAAGTTCCTGACATATTTAATGACTTTAGCAATATTATACTATAATAAAACCATATTCAAATTTATACGGTTTTACTGATCGGGATTTATATAGGGTCATATCTTGGCTAAGCTAATTTTATATTTACATGCATATGCACAGTGCTTGGCTAAATCAGTTTGTGACATGACGTATATCATATCACATGTATCACTCTAGATTCCTGCCAGTTCCACGACAGTTTTTCGATAATTTTAAGAGAGTTCTAAGCGCTGGCGAGTTTCTATAAATCACGAGATGAGTCTTTTTTCTCATATTTATTCAAAAAAAAATAAATATATCAATGATTTCGGAACACTAGTGTTCTCCAACAAATGTTATATATAGCTGATCATGAGCAAAGCAAATTATCAAGACAGATCAGCTAAACAGATTTTGCGCAATAACTAATCATTTATAGTACAGTGTATTTTTTCATTAGCAATACATTATATATACACCACACATACTTATGTAAGTAAATGCCTGAGCTATATGCGAAACTTTATAAAATACTTTATTATTATATATGCGAAATTATAAATACAGATAAATGTTAAACTATCAGATATATACGCAATCTAGATATAAGATAAGTCATGTGAAAGTCACGGGTAGGACCTCGGGTCTCACACATGATCAAAATGCTGTTCAATCACCCTAATTTATGTGGAAGTGAGCTTTAAAATAGCATTTGCACTATATGATATAACCCGCTTAATCTTATCCACTCTGATTTTTCAGAACAGCTTAAAAATCTTCACAGCCCTTTGAGTTTTTTTACGTAAAGTATCCTTAGTAAATCCGCCAGGGAGGTGCTCCATTGTATCATCATACACTTGATTTCTTGCTGATTAATCACTAATTCCTCTCCGAGCATTCTTAATCTCCTCAACCCTCTCTTTATATGCCTTCTCATAGTAATACCAACACGAAATTTCTTCTTGGATTGCTTTTGTAGCACGCGTCTCTGCTCTATAAACTTTTTGGAAGAGGCGGGTTAAAGTCTTTGACATTGAAGCTTCTGAATCATCCTCAGCCACTTCATTATTCTCAATAGATTCCCCCCTAACAGGTGTAGATAATTCTTGCAATAAGCCCTGCAAGATATTGTGCTCATGGTTATTATTTCCAGAGGTAACTGATTGTCTTGATGAATGCCTTGGCAAACGTCTTAATGGCTGATTTTAAGCAGTATTATTATTCCCATCATTTGTAGCTGAATCCTGGGAATCATTTCCGCTATTTTCATTAGGTGTATTCTCCAGATTATCTTGTACATTGGCAGAGCGGTTTGATGCATCTGGTGTCCTTTCATTATCATTATTTTCAGAAGTATCATCCTCAATCACGATTGGGCTTGTTGCCTGATCCTGCATAGTGACTTGCTTCGACTGACTCCCTTGTCTAGCATGAGAGCCACCTTCTACCAATCCTAATGAAGTTATGAGCTCCTCATTACCCTGTCCAGTGTCAGTTTGTTTTTTTTGAAGATGATATTTTCCAGAGATGAGTACTGCCTCTTCTTTAGTCAACTCAATGATTATATTACACGAAGAGCATGTAAGAGGTGGTTCAGTTTCTGCTTGCATAATATACTTCTCAAGACATTGGCAGTGGAAAAGGTATTCGCAATCTAACACAGCAAATGATTGAAATCAGAATTTTAGGATTACTCTTTGGCAAATACTGCAAGGATTGAGTTTCAGAATTCTGGTGGGAATAGTTGAAATCTCTTGATTTTGAAGATAATTTAATACAAATACTTCGAGTTGGGAAGGCTCAGAAGTATCTGTTTGAATTTCTGAAGTGCTGGTTGAAGATTCACTGGCTATAGTGGTGCTCGAAGGTTCATTAGCTATAGTGGGGAATTGTAGAGATAAAATGCTCCCATGCATTCTTCACACCCGTCTTCTACTTATACAGTTTTCCACTCCTCTTTGATCTGCAAGTGAAATAATAGCCCGAAATTAGTGTGAATAGACGTACTTATTATGCAGAGATAGTTGCAAAATAAAGAAAATTCCTGATCTTCGTTGTCAATCCAACTTACTGATTACAAATTAAGATTTCGTCCCTAAATGCCCTGCATTAATGTGAATACAATCAAATTATCAAATCCTTATCAATTCGTCTATTACTACTCTGCTATCTATATGCGAAGAGTTAATCAATGCAAGCTTTTTATTTGTAATACATCAGATCTATCCTATTCATTGCGTCTATTCTATCTACCACCCAATAACCTGCTATATTCATTATTTTTCATTCTAACCCCATTTCATCAGTCGTGATGCTAACAATAACCTTAAAAGGAAAACTATGTGTTAGTTACAAGCTTTGAAGATGCTGTTTCGCATAGAGTTCCAGATGAGTTGAGTTAACTCACGAGTCATATAAGCCGAGTCGAGTTTAAATTGAGTCAAGTTTATATTTTTTTGACTCGATGATTTGCGAGTCAAATCAAATTCGAGTCGAGTTAAATATTTAACTTGA